CATGTTATTCATGTTTCCCTTTATTTATTTTTTTTTTTTTTTTTTTTTTTTTAAAGCCTTTATAGTTTTATTTTTTGTTTATAGTTTTAGTTAAGTACTTCAACTCAAACTAATGAAAATGAGAAATGTTGCCTTGGCAGTCAGCTGAAATAAAATAAGTTTACGTTTTTTTTAATATTTTATCTTATTTGTTTTAATGTTTACTTAATTTCAAGTAATGAATGAGTTGACGTGTCCATACGTAATGCATGAGTAAACAGCAGCTTTTGTATTAATGGATGAACAGATGCATTGTAAACTGAACACAGTATTTATTGTGGTCACAATTTGCCTGCTTTTTACACGGCAGGTGATTCGTGATATCATGCAATCAATTCATTACAGTCAAGGGATTCCCATATACCTCTATCATGACAGTATCACTTAAGGAGCAATTTCGAAATAGTTCCAAAGTTCTAATAACATTCTTTTAGGAATTTTGACAAGCAGCACTGTTACAAAGTCAAGACTTTCTTCGACTGCACTAAGTCATATATAGAAGCAGATTGTTTGCATGTGATATTGGTGACAGTCTGCTGGACTCATATGACTGTGGTGGAGTTTGAGCAGTGAACTAGGACACAGCAGCTGCCTGCTAAACTGGGAACCCCTTGAGTCCTGCGCGTCTCTGAGTGATTCTAGTTCTCATCAACCAGAGCAGACCAGACAAACTCATATATTTTATCATATCTTATCACAGCATCACATTATGCAAGTTCTGTTCCTTGTCCTTAAAAGAAAAGTTCACCCAAAAACTAACATTTGCTGAAAATGTACTCACCCTCAGGCCATGCAAAATCTAGATGAGTTTGTTTCTTCATCAGATTTGGAGAAATGTAGCATTGCATCACTTGCTCAACAAATGATCCTCTCCAGTGAATGGGTGCCGTCAGAATGAGAGTCCAAACAGCTGATATCACAATAATCTACAAGTAATCCACCACTCCAGTCCATCAATTAACATCTTGAGAAGCTGTGTGTTTGTAAGAGGCAAATCCATCATTAATATGTTTCTGGCCAAAATACGTGTTCATAATCCATAATAATGCTTCCATCATGGTGAACAAGTTTTAAACTTTTCACTAGTACTGTAAATAGTGCTTGATCTGTGCAGATTTCTCTCCTGATTCAGATGACTTTTTCACTAAGCAATATTATGGATTATGAATACTTTAGCTGAAAGCAAAGTAAAAAAAAAAAAAAGTCTTGATGGATTTGTTTCTTACAGATGTGCAGCTTTTAACTTCACAAGACGTTAAACAAACCCATGTACATCTTGTGGTGAGTCGGTTTTCAGCAAAGTTTCATTTCTGGGTGAACTATTGCTTTAAAAAGGGGAATCCTCTAGTGACAGACTTTCCACAAGACTGTGTGAGTTTTGTGGAGAAATGCAGCTCATATGCTCATTATATTAGAAATTCAAGAAAAATGCTTGGAGGACCAACTAAAGAAAAAGTTGGCTAACTAAACAGAGAGTCCACTGTGGAAAATGTAATGGATGAAATGGCTACAAAAAGTTTCCCGCTGCTCAGTAATTTTGCAATGTTCTGATTCATGGAAAAGTCACCATTACGCTGAGCAACAGGACGCTGTCCCTCAAAAAGAATGAATATAATGAGAACATGCTGAGTGTGTGTTGACCTTTGTCATGGTGCCTAAACCACTCAGAAAAGGGATTCTTGCGAAAACTGTGTCCTTATAAACGTGTATATAAGTGTGTCCTTATATGTATTTAATATATATATATATAATTAAAACTTGTAATATTTAAAATACAAAAAAATATGTTTTTTAAAAATAAAAATGTTTTTAATATTTATTTTTATATTATTTTATTTATTATTTAATTAAAATAATATTTATCATTAAAAACATACATCAATACAGAATTTATAGGGTATAAAAAGTCTATTACCGTGACATTATCTCACTCTCTCACTGTGGTTCCTTGATCCTGCAACTGACCTGTTTGTGTACTTTAAGGACGTTTCACGAAATATCATTTAAAAAACAAAAACAAACAGCCTTAATTAATATACAGATCTCTCTAAAAACTAATAGCCTACTTGTGTTTTCTTAGACGGTGAAAAGCTCGAAATCAGCCGTGATGTTATTTCTAGAAATACAGTATCACAGAGGAAATATTACAGACGACACGCTGAGAAAACAGACCAATTAAGAACTGCGTTTCAATGACAGCGCTCGCGTGATCCCTCTATATGTTACTATTATTGAGATATGAGGGAAAAAATGTTTAAATAACAACCTACCTTCACCAAACCGCATTAAACACGGAGTCAAACCCATCTGCTGCGAATGAACGCGTCCGTGCCGCGTCGCGTAAAGGAGGTCGTTCATTGGTCGACTGGGTACTGATGAAGACGCGTCGCGCGGAGCTCATTATAATACGAGCGCTCTGATTGGTCGACATCGGGATTCCATCGCTTGCAATGTACGCGTCGCGTCACACAGGAACGTTTTATGAACTTTCCGCGTCAAACGCATCAAGAAGCGTTTAAATGCATATATTATATTATTAGTGAGTGCGTATGTGTGAAACCTAAAGTATCAGAATGGTATAAAAAAAATCTGCGTCCTTCCGTAGCGGGGCTAGTTGTCACATTTGTCACTCAGATGCTAGATTTATTTGTTTATTTATTTTTAATGTAACATGTTGCATAAACACGAACCTTTAAGATGTCAGCGTGTTTTTTTGTTTGTTTATTCAACAGCTATTAAAATATGATATTGGAATTTCGGAAGAGAAAAATTTATATAAATTATTCTAATTTAAGATCGGTCTTAACCGGATGTATTGTTTTCACATTAGTTGTGCTTAATTCAAACAAATGTCGTATATACAAAAAAAAAAAATGTTTACTGTAGATCAGCGATTATGAAAAGTGAAGAGCACCTGCAGTGGGACGTACCTCGCTTCTATTGGCTGCTGGATCTGTCAGTCATGCGATGACGTCACGCGGGTATTGTGTTTGAGGAAGCGCGAGAAACTGCATCAAACCCAGAACATATTTGACTTTATAAATCATATCGACATCACCGAAGAGTTTAATGTGACTGCGCTTAAAATATACGATTTCCAACGTCCCGAGCAAAAAGGTATGCTAATATTTCGGCTTTTTTTGAGTTCCTTAATGGTTAAGTTTGGCCAACTGTCATTGAGCATTTATATCATAATCAATGTATCATCAGTAATAATGTGATCAGAGTCGTATTCAGTGCTAGACTATCAAGCTTTTCATTTTAAGTTGCAGTTTTCGAAGTTTGTTGAAACCATTTTGTCTTTGAAACGGCATGTGGACGTTATATAGAATATCATTGTATTATAAATGAGTTTTGATCAGGCCTGTATTGATTACTGATCAGCTGCAGTAAATGTGAGCAGGACTCGGTATGTTTTGCACCTGCTCACTATCAGTATGGGTTTAGAACCACGTTTAGTCCTCAGGTGCTTCCTGTATCACTTCCTTGTTAAGTTACACAAAACACATAATTCACACAAAAGTTCTACTTCTTATAAATATTGATATTAATAATTAAATGTCTTTTTTTTCTAAGTTAAAGTAAGGGAAAGTGGACATTTAGTAGGTGAAACTTCCTCTGGACTGTCCAGTATTGACAAACAGGTGAAGTTCCTGGTCATGGGTTCAGAGCTGCAATAAGTCTATAAATATATAAGTGTGATTCTGCGATTGAAAGCAGCTTCAAGAAGAGTTTATTTATTATAGATCATGTGATGGTTTGATAATACTTAGACTTTAACACAGCAGTATGCTAGCAGTCAACTTTGAATGTATAAAAATAAATTGACTTTGAATAAAAATTATTAAATAACATTTTTTTAACTAAATATTTGGTACAAAATGTATCATTATTATCTACTAGTGATTATTTTGATAATCGATTAATCAGTGAATCAGTTGTTTATACAGTATATATATAAAAAATAAATTCATTTTAATCCATCATTTGCTATCCTACTATACTACATAATATATCTATGTACAATGAAACATTATGTGCAGTTATGATTATCAATTATTACAGATTTAATCTTTTAGTTGTTTCAGTTTTATTACTAACCCTAAGTCTCTCCCTAACATTAGTTCAACACTATGACTGCAGTTAAAATATTTCACATCGTCTGCATTCATAATTGTCTTAAAATAATAAGAAAACTACTAATGAAAACAGTTTTTGTGGAAAACAGTATGTGCAAGTGTTGCATGTATGGCATATATTGCAGTTTTGAAAAAAGTTGCCTTGACAACTAGCTGAATAACGTAAGAAGTTTTAGTAATTTTATTGTGTTTTTGTCATTTTTATTATTATTATTTTATACATGTGTCTGTATAGTTTTTATTAGCTTATTTGGTTTTAGTTATTTTAGTACTTCAACTTAAAATAAATGAAAATGAGAAATGTTGCCTTGTCAACTATCTAAAATAAGTAAGAATAAGTTAAAGAATAGTAATTTTGTTGTGTGTTTTTGTCTTTTTTCATTCTTCTTTTTTTAAAATGTCTTTTTGGCAACTGGTTGAAATAAAGTAAGTTTTAAATTAAGTTTAAGTTGTACATGCGGTCAGTAAAGTTCAGGGTGGGTTAGTAAAGGTTTGTACCAGGCACAAGTTAAGTAGCGTTGTTGTCTGCTGAAAAGAGTGTGCTAATGAGGAAATTGATGACTTGTGGGTAAAAATTCATTTCATTATGGGACTTTAACATGAACAAGCGGTGGTCTGTCTCTGTCTGTTATAAATTGCTTTCGTATATTGACAGTGAAGAAAGTGACTGCCGCAGCACAGCATGCAGGTCAGCGGTTATCTGTGCGCTCTCATCGCCTGTATTGGATTAACCCTGTCCGTGCCGACCGGAAACCAAACACGACTGGAGTCTGGAAACGACGCGCCGCCGCTCCTCCTGGTGTCGTTTGATGGTTTTCGCGCAGACTACCTAAAGAAATACTCATTTCCCAATCTTGAGAAGTTCTTCTCCGAGGGCGTCCTTGTGCGCGAGCTGACCAATGTGTTCACGACGAAAACCTTTCCCAATCATTACAGTCTCGTCACAGGGCTGTATGCGGAGAGCCACGGGATACTGGCCAGTATTATGTACGACCCGGTGTCGAAAAAGACATTCTCCATTCAGAATGACAGTGACCCTTTCTGGTGGAACGAAGCCACTCCGATTTGGGTGTCCGTGGAGGAGTCTGGATATAAGGCAGCGGCTGCTATGTGGCCAGGAACGGATGTCAATATTCAAAACCACACATTAAAATACCAATTTGAATACGACCCCAAGGTGACTTTCCAAGAAAGGCTGGGAAACCTCACACAGTGGATGACCACGGACAAATCTGTGAAGTTTGCCGCTCTGTATTGGGAAGAGCCCGACCGGAGCGGACACATATACGGCCCGGAGAACACCACTGAGATGAGCAGGGTTTTAAAGGAAGTGGATGGTCATATTGGCTTCCTGATGGAGCAGCTCAACAAAACGGGATTATGGGGGAAAATAAATGTCATCATCACTAGTGATCACGGTATGGCACAGTGCTCTCAAGAGCGTCTTATTAAACTGGATGACTGCATCAGTCCGAGCAGCTATAGGGTGGTGGATCTCACTCCTGTGGCTGCCATAATCCCACTGGAAGGTAATTATTTATACTATATTTAATTCATTTTTAAATTAAAAAGTTTGTCTTCCACAGTGAACTGTGATTTTTTTTTTTCTGCTATCAAAATTGCTATATAGAGATTAGGGAGACCAATGGCCAGTATGTACATGAAAAATTAGATATTAAAAATGTCACATATATATATATATATATATATATATATATACCGTGCCGTGAAAAGGTTTTTGCCCCTTCCGGTTTTTTTTAAATTCTTTGCATATTTGTCACACTTAAAAGATTCAGATCAAAAAAATTTCCTGAAGCTGCAAAGCAGCCCCAGACCATCACACTACCACCACCATGTTTGACTGTTGCTATGATGTTCTTTTCATAGAAAAGAATCATAGCAGTCGTGGCCTAATGGAATAAGAGTCGGACTTGTAACCCGAAGGTCGCGGGTTCGAGTTTTCAGGTCCAGCAGGAATTGTCGGTGGGGGGAGTGAATATCCAGCGCTCTCTCTCCACCCTCAATACCACGACTGAGGTGAGACGTGCACTTGAATGGGTTAAATGCAAAGCACAAATTCCAAGTATGGGACACCATACTTGGCCACACATCATGTCCTTTCCTTCCTTTCATTTCCATAATATTTCATTTAAATGAGCTTTTATTTTACACAATGTTTACTAAGAAATTTACTAAAATTGTTGCATCCACAAAAAAGGCTGTAAATATTGGTCTACGGTGCTGGTTCATCACTACTAATCTTAGCTCAATTTGATGCATTTTATTTATGTTCATTCCTCAAAATCCTGCTAATATGCATGTTTCCTCATATTTACTTTTTTTATTTTTTTTTATTAAATTGACAGATAATTCGACTGTGTACAAAAACCTGTCCAGCTGTCACAGTAACATGAAGGCGTACCTGAAGGACAATGTTCCTGATAGGCTGCACTATAAAAACAATGGGAGGATCCAGCCAATCCTTTTGGTGGCGGATGAAGGCTGGACGATTGTCAAAAATGGCAAACTCCCACGCAGTAAGTGTTCCTTGAAAGCAATTTTTGAGTTTGAATTTGCATTGAATTAATTAATGAATTCAAATGAATGGCATTTACAAAATGCATATTGTGGCAATTGTGAATTGTTTTACATGAGTTTATTTTCTTTCGCAGTGGGCGATCATGGCTATGACAATACGCTTCCCAGCATGCACCCTTTCCTGGCCGCCCACGGGCCTGCGTTCCGCAAAGGCTACAAGATGTCGAGCTTTAACAGTGTGGATCTCTACCCGCTCATGTGTCACCTCGTGGGCGTCCCTCCGATGCCTAACAACGGCAGCTTCGCTCTCGTGCGCTGTGCGCTAGTTAACGAGCAGTGCGGAGAGCTAGCGTTAGCGGTGGGCCTCGTCATCGGGGTTCTGATCATCCTGACCACCTTCACCTGCCTATTCAAGCTGATGAAGAACAGAGATGCCTCGTCTCCACGTCCGTTCGCCCGCTTGGAGTTAGAGGACGACGCTGATGACGAGCCGCTGCTTGAATGAAGTGTTATTAGACGCAGGTACTGTGTTGGATGGAGGGATTTGACTTGATTCAAACGCATGCAGGATACGTTAAAGGAATAGTTTATCGACTTCATTTTCAATTTCAGGTGAACTGTTCCTTTAAACGCTGAAATGGTGCAGAGATGACAATCATACTGAAACTGTAAGGGAGAAATTGAGCTATTGTAAAGCCAGTAACATACACTGAAGGCACAACAATGATAATGAGTCATCGTTAGTACTAAACAACATGACAAAACATGTCCTCAACATTATCAGCAGCTGTTGAGATAGAAATACTTTAAAATTTGTTCTTAAAGGGATAGTTCACCCAAAAATGAAAATTCTGACAAAGCTCGTGTTGTTCCAAACCTGTATGAATTTCAAGTTGTTCCAAACCGGTTCCAAGACTTTCTTTCTTCTGTTAAACATGAAGGAAGATATTTTGAAGAATGTGGGTAATCAAACATTTGCCAGTCACCATTGACTTCCATAGTATGGAAAAAATACTTTGGAAGTCAATGGCTACCAGCAACTGTTTGGCAACCAACATTCTTCAAAATATTTTCTTTTATGTTTAACAGAAGAAAGAAAGTATTGGAACCGGTTTGGAACAGCTTGAGTTTGAGTAAATGAAGACAGAATTTGTATTTTTAGGTGAACTATCCCTGTATGAGTTCCCTGGTATGGAATTTCTACTACAGAATAAAAAAAAAAGTTTATATCTCACAATTGTTTTTCCCCTCAGAATTAAAGGTAATTTTGACTTATATCTTGTAATTCTCCAAATAAACTCCGAATTGTGTAATAAACTAATTTTGAGGGGGAAAAAAATCAGAATTGCAGGTTATAAACTTGTAATTGCGAGGAAAAGTCAAGCTTGTAATGGAATAAAAAATACAAAAAAGGGTAAATGCGATTCATCTCACAATTCTGAGTTTATATCTCACAATAGTTTTTTCCCCTCAGAATAGTGAGATAAAAACTCGCATTTCTGAGGAAAAACTCGAGCTTGTTTTTGCCAAGGAATAAAAAATAAAGGTAATCGCAATTTTATATCTTGTAATTCAGATTTTTTCCCCTTAATATTGCAAGATATAAACTCAGAATTGTGAGAGATAAACTCATTTTGAGAAAAAAAATTCAGAATTGCAAGTTATAAACTTGTAATTGTGAGGAAAAGTCAAGCTTGTTTCTGTCATGAAATAAAAAATAAAAAAGGGTAATTGTGACTTTATTAATTGCAGTTTATATCTTGCAATTACAAGTTTATGTCTTACAATTCAGACTTTTTTCTCAGAATAGTGACAAAAAAGTCAGAATTGTAAGAAGTCGCAATTACTTTTTTTTTCGTGGCGGAAATAAGTTTCCATACCCTGGGCAACAACAACATGTACGAAAAAAAGCAAAAAGCAAAAAATATTTTGATTGTGTTAGATAATTTCCTGAATAATCTCACACGCACAAGCATGCTCTCTTCGTGTTTAACAGATTTCAGAATGATTAAATCATGCTACTTCCAGTTATGCCTTTTAGCATTATCATATGCGTATAAATATTGCTTTATATCTATGCATACTCTATGTTAGCAGTCGGGTTACTGAGGTACACCATGCTTCATGCTCTTAAACTGCTGTTTCATCGAAAGTCTAAGTAGGTCTTAGAATGCATTGAAACAATGATTTCTACTTAGGTTTGCAATGCTTTTGGGAAATGCAGAACAAAAAAAAGTGCAGAACATAAGCAATAATACTTATTACTAGCTTCTTTTCAGTGAAGAAACAGGATACTGAGGTTACTTGAAAATGCCCGTACTGATTTTGCTTGTAGTGAAACTTTATTTATGAAGTCACGTTTTATCTGTTCTCACCGCCGGGGAAATACACAACCAGTTAAATCAGAATATTTATTTATTTTTCTATAAGTTGCTTAGTCTTTGTTTCTTTGCAGAAAAGGCGTATTTAGATTGAATGCATCTAAAGGAATGCTAAATCTCATGTTTCTTCTTGAATCCCTACTGAGGAATATTTCTGTAGGGTTTATGAGGGCTTTTTACCTGAATGTTTCTTGTATAGTAGAATGATTCTGAGTGTTGACTGTTTCTCGGAGATTGTTGTATGTGTAAATAGACTGTAAAGCTTGTGTTTTTGCTTATTGCACTGTAATCTGTATGTTCAGATTTGGGGGAAGGAAACATGTTGCTGCTTTAAAATGAGGAATTTTTATTCATGCTTTAAAATGTTTGTATAACAGGGATGTTATTTTTCTATTTAAAGGGGTCATAGGATGCTACATGCACTTTTACAAGTTGTTTGAACTGAAATGTGTGTTGGCAGTGTGTGTACATAACCACCCTATAATGATAAAAATCCACCCAGTGTTTAGAGCCGACAAAAACAGGCCCCGCCCACGATAGTTTGATTGACAGTAGCGTTTCAGCAAAGACTGGACTGGCATCTTACCTCAGACCCGCCCTGAGTGAGCTGTCATCAGTCCGCCATTGTTTCACCGCCGGAGCAGATGTAGACAAGAATGACTCCTAAGCGATTGAGGTGTTCTGTTGTTGGATGTAATAATGAACATAGCAGTCGTCATTTACACCTGACATCTAAGACGCAGTGGATTACGTTTGTTTTTGAAGAGAATGCGCCTCCAATCTACCGCATTGAGAAATTTTAACCAAACTATGTTACAGACTTTTCTTTAAGACCCTAAAGAATCATATCAACTTGTGGAAAATAGGCATCCAATGACCCCTTTAATTACTAGCATTTGTTCTTTTTTAAATAGCATTGCTCATTTTATTGGGAAATAACAAAAGTGTTTTGGACTTTTAATGCTGGTTTTTGACTGTTGACTTGAAATGACATTTAAGAGCTGTGCAATTTTTTTTCTTTTTTGACTTTTTATCCATGGCTTGTCATTTTCTAAATATTTCTTGCCATTTTGTCTGTACATTTAGCAGTGGTCAATATTATTTCACATCAATCTTTAGTTACTGAAAGGAAGGTTACTGAAACATAGGAAATCACCCTGGCTTGTGCAGTATTTGGCTATCAAATGTTTGTGGTCATATTTTCACAGCTTTTTGAATCTTCATGAAACTATGCAAAGCTAAAACTAAATGGAACCTTTTGTCACTCCGAAAATTTGTCATCTGAAAATCGAATAAAATGTATATTTCAGATATTTAAAGTGTTTTTTTTTGTGTGTGTAACTTGTTATGGTAATAAAGTATAGGTAGTTTTTTGTAGATGACGTCAAGCAGCCACTAGAGGTCTCACTTTATGTTATTGTACAACTACCAGGTGAAATACAGGTTACTGTATATATCATGACACTGCTGTGAGGACAATCAGTTGTGACTTATTCAGTCAAGAGAGAAATAATGTGTTTTTATGTACAGACTTTTTGTTAATATAGCAGCAATATGTATGGCTCTTGGTGTGTGTGTGTGTGTGAAATGCTGCTATATTCAAAATTTGTTAAATTGTTTTTGAATCTCTTCTGCTCACCAAGGCTGCATTTATTTGATTAAAAATACAATACAAACAGTAATATTGTGAAATATTATTACAATTTAACATAACTGTTTTCTATTTTAATATATATTAAATTGTAATTTATTCTTGTGATGCAAAGCTGAATTTTCAGCATCATTACTCCAGTCTTGAGTGTCACATGATCCTTCAGACATCATTCTAATATGCTGATTTGGTTATTATCAATTCTTAAATATGATCATTTCTTATTATCAATGTTGAATACAGTTGGGGCACATGCTATTTTTATTTTTTTCAGGATTTTTTATTGAATATAAAGCAACACCAAAATAACGGCATTCATTTGAAATAGAATTTCTTTAGTTTTTAAAAGTCTTTAGTCAATTTTGATACATTTAAAATTCAGTTTGCTAAATAAAAGCATTAATTTCTTTCAAAAAATACATTTAATAGATCTATGGTCATATGTATGGTTTTATAAAATTATTTGACATCATTTAAAAAATTTATTTACCATCACTTTTGATCAATTTAATGCATTCTTGCTGAATAAAAGTGTTAATTTCTTAAAAAATAATACATTTAATGACTCCAAAAAAAAAGCAGCAGTTTAGTGTGTGACTGTTACTGTACAGTCCTGAGGTCAGTAATCATGTGTAAATGAGTGTTCAGGGAGGCTACGGCTCTATATTTAGAGAGAACGTACTGGAATGGTTTACCCATAACCCTCCCAAACTGAACCACCAGCTGATTATGAAGCCCGACCGGCAGGAACTGGGGCCTGAGAGCGAGTGACCCAATTAAACGTGTTACTTACTGTACACCACATCTGCCATTCCACTAAAAATCACTTAAACACCAAGATAATGAGCAAAAATGGTGATGTTAGTAAGGAAAAACTACCAGCGCTGTGAGAGGTCAGAGATTCGTGACTCAGGTTTTAACAGGAAGGAGTGAAATATGATTCATCATATATCTATAAAGGACCCAAGCGACACTGAGCTGGTGTAGGTGACACTGAACTCCTCCCTAGTGCTCCTGCGCCGCGTGGAGGCTATTTTTGGCCCTCCTGTGACAGTCAGAGCGGCTCTCACTGACAGCTGACCGCAGGGGCCAAATCAAAACAAGCACCGCACCTCCACCGACCTGTTACAGCGCCGAGACCATCACGACACCCCGCCGGACACATAACAGACTCCCACATCCAAGGAAAAGAGATTACATATTCATAATTCTCCATCAGCCTCTGATTTGGAGTGAGCTTCAACGATATGACCTCAAATGAGGAGGACAAAGATCCTGATATTGAGCTTTTTGTGAAGGTAAGCATGATGATAAGCTTTAATGACCTGCGGGTCTAAGCTCTCTGGCTGTGTTTGTGTGTTGCACACTTCATCAATAGTCAGGAATCGATGCTGGCATTACTTCTAAAAGCTTTCTGACAGTTTTAGCAGTTTCGTTTGAGGTTAAGATGGGCGTTTGACAGTAACATTTCAGAGCAGAAACTCCAGGTTGCTGTTGAATTATTTCTTCAATTCTATCAACAGCTCACACTCGAATTCCTCTGTGTTCAAGTGTCTCCTTTCTTCTGCTTTCTGTGGTTTGTTTTGCATTGTTTTTTTAATTTTTTTAAATGTGATGATGTTTAGAGAACGTTAACAGCTGAAAGTATGAGGGTGAAATGTTGATTAAAAACATTATAAAAGCTTTATAAATCAAAGAACCGTCATAATCGCAGAAGGTCAGATGCTGTATTTCTTTCACGTGGAGTCAAAGTTATTAATAGAGCTAATAGTGACAGTAAATGCAGAGGGGTTGAAAAACTGTGTTTACTGCTTGCTGACTATTGATATAAGACCTTATTAGTGATGTTTTTAGTATAAAATTTCACATACGGTGTTACAGACATGTATAATTCACTCACCTTCGACTTGTACGAGTTTCTTTCTTCTGTTGAACACAAAAGAAGATATTTTAAAGAATGTTTTGTAACCAAACAGTTGCCGGTAACCATTGACTTCCACAGTACTTTTTTGTCATACTATGGAAGTCAATGGCTACCGTCAACTGTTTGGTTACCAGCATTCTTAGTCCTCTATACAGAAGAAAGAAATAGAATTATCATTTTTAGGTTAAACTATCCACCTACACTTTAAAAAAAGAAATGCTCCAAAAGCAAATGCCATAAAAGAACTCAAAGAACTTTTCAATGAACATTTTAATGATCTAAACCACCTTTTTCCATTATAAACAACCCTTTGTGCAATGGAAAGATTCTATGCATGTTAAAGCTTCTTCATGGAACCATAGATTCCAATAAAGAACCTTTATTTTCAAGAGTTTTGCATGGACAAAACTCAGAAATCCAATGCACAGAGAGTCATACAACACTATGAATATCTGTTTGACCAAAATAACACATTTAAATAATAACATTATATTCAGTCCCTGCTCTGAATATACTTTATCCCATGGGAAGGTGGATTGAGTGATGTGAGATTGAAAGATCTTGCATATCACATACTGTAAACATCTCTGCGTGTGAGCAGAACCTCAGGTGTAACATCAGCAATAACTCCACATTCCATCTGAGCCAATCAAGCGTTGACCGTTTGAAAACTAACCTCTATGCATTTTATCCCAGCATAGTTAAGTGCTAAACACATTAATTTTAGGTGGCGAGGGTGGTGTCTAACTCATAGTTGTGTTGACAGGTACAGTATGACCCAAACCCCTTTGCTGTGGGCTCATGGGGCAGATAATGGAATTTCCATGCATAATTCAGCTTAAGCGTGGATCTGATGTCCGGCTCAGGTTACTGGCCCAGTTTAAGGACACTATTGGATAGCTTGATCGCCTAATTTCAGATGTGGAAATTTGGCACTGAATCCCCATCGGTTCTTTGTAGTGTCTGCTATTGTATTGAAGATTACAAATCATGCACTGAATGGCGAATGACTTTCAGGGGTTTCATAATTTCACTTTTGCCCTAATGACACTAACATGCATGTCTGGGTTTTTGGCTTTTTTTAGAAAATGCATGTTTTTTTAATATACTTTAAAATAGAATTTATTCCTGTGATGCAAAGCTGAATTTTCAGCATCATTACTCCAGTCTTCAGTGCCACATGATCCTTCAGAAATCATTCTCTAATATGCTGATTTATTTTCAATGTTGGAAACCGTTTTTGCTGCTTGATATTTTTTTTTGGAACCTGTGATCGTAACATTTTCTAACATTTAATGACTGTAATAAGTTGAATAATTGTAAAATTATTTTACAATTATTCAACACTATTTTGTATATACTCACACATAAATGTTATATAATTTTCTTGAAATACTTTAAATACGTTGAAATATGTTGAATATACATGAATAATCTTATATAATATTTAATTTATTCATAATATTTTCAAGACCTTGCCTACACTAAAAAACAAAAATACTGTGGTGGTACCATGGTATTGTACTTACTGTATATGATGTGATGTATTGAGTTTAATACTGATTTATCAGTTTGTGTTCCTCAGGCTGGCAGTGATGGAGAAAGTATTGGAAACTGTCCTTTTTCTCAAAGGCTTTTTATGATCCTGTGGCTGAAGGGAGTCGTGTTCAACGTCACCACTGTCGACCTGAAAAGGTAACGAATTGTACTTAAAATATACGTTGCTGTTAGAAACCACATGGATCAAAATTGTGTGGCTTTCATTTAAAGTCTGTTAGCTTTAGATAGATGTCCCACCCGAATGTCCTGTTTTAACTAGAAATACATTAACAAAGCAAAGTAACCCATGCTTATCAAGCATTTTCATTGGCTTTAATTGGCTGTGTTATGTAATGATCAAACTCAGATGTGAATGTGCAACAAAAATCTAAAGTTTTCCATTTTTCTTCAAGGAAACCAGCTGATCTCCATAATCTGGCTCCCGGTACTCCTCCACCATTCCTTACCTTCAATGGCGAAGTGCGGACAGATGTCAACAAAGTCGAGGAATTCTTGGAAGAGATGCTAGCGCCTCCCAAGTAGGTTGACAGGATGTTCACAGATGGATTGATTGTTTATGTAATGTGAACAGCAATATTTTTCGTTCACGTCCTAAGGTATCCAAAACTGGCTGTGAAGAACAAGGAGTCCAACACGGTGGGAAATGACATCTTCGCAAAGTTCTCAGCCTACATCAAGAACACAAATCCAAGAGCCAACGCAAGTGAGTTTAACGTCTGCTCTATGATTTATTAGACAGGTTCAAGGAATATCTACAGCTCTTTATGGATGCTCTGTTGTCAACGGCGAAATATGGAGCCACATGTTATCCAGAGCTCATTCACATTCCGCTAGGCCTTTACAGGGATTGTCTTGACTTAAAGCCACTGTATTTCTTCAGATGAAAACATTCAGCACAAGCACATATCAAACTTTTGGCTGTGCAGGTCTGGAGAAGGGGCTACTGAAAGCTCTGAAGAAACTGGACAACTTCCTGAACTCCCCTCTGCCGGACGAGATTGATGCCGATAGTACGGAGGAGGAGAAGTGCTCCAACCGCAAGTACTTGGACGGCAATGAATTAACGCTCGCAGACTGCAACCTCCTCCCCAAACTGCACGTAGTGAAGGTGACATACCGCTGGGAGATCTGCTGTAATTGGTCATTTAGTGCAAGATAAAATAGTGGTGATTCCTGAAAGGAAAAGTTCCACAAACGTTCCTAATGTTCCAAAAACGTTATTTTTATTGCAGTGAATGTTTCTCGGGGTGGATTTACTTTTTAAAGTCAGTTTTTGCGCAGACACAGACCTTTCCAGCTAACAGGGAACGTTCTTACAACTTTCAATGTTTTGTCAAAATTATATATATGTTAGGATAAAATGTTCTTATAGTAATGTTAATGGAACATTCTTATAACATTATTAATAGGCTATTTAATATCCGTTCTCATAATGTTAAGAGAAAATGTGATTAGATTATAAAAATAAATGTTATATTTAGGGTGAACAAGTTAATAGAATCTTGTAAGAAATGTTTTAATAATCTTTAAATAATGTTTTAATTATGATACGAAAACTGGACTTTTTAAAGGGGTTAGCGGCCTTGAGTGAGCGGAGGCCGGAGGCCTAGAGTGAGCCGCGGCGGGCGGGCTTGAGAAAGGCGCAGCCGGCGGGCTTGCAGCAACCACATGTGACGACCCCGGGCTGGACTCCGCTTCGTCCACGATGAAAGTCGATCCGGAGATCCACAGCGCGAAGTTAATGTATTCCCTCAGCAACCAGCACGGATCAGCTCCAGGCATGACGAAGCGGATATCGTCCTCTTTTGGAAGACCAAACAAAGTAGTTTCGCTTTCACAACGAAACACACAGCGCCTTCACAACATGGCGGCGGCAGCAACAACAATACTACAGCAAGAATAAAAGTTACGCCTTCTTTCTTTGCGTGAACATTTGGGTGGCGTTATGCAAATCTTCCCACATCGTGACGTAGACATGTGGGGGCGTGTTAGAACGAGCCGTTTTAGGTAGGTGTGGCTGACTCTTAACTTTCATAAAGAATATCTCTTTGGATTTGAGACTTTGCAACTTTACAGATCTTCTTTATGCACCAAGAGCTTGTAACACTCCAAAGAGAAAGGAAAACTTGAAATCGCATCATATGACCCCTTTAACAATATTAAAAAAAGAATGTTTTTGCAACTTTTGAATAACATTAGAATCGTGACAAGAAAATGAAAATTTTCACATTTTAGGAACATTTCAAAATGTTTTCAATGTTTTTATAACCTAAATTTATCATCTGGGTCAAAGTCTTTTGAACATTCCTGATTCCTGAAATTTTTAAAAACAGTCCCTTTAATTGCAGTTAATAATTCTCAGGGTAGGTTTACATTTTAAAGTTAATTTTTGCACAGATTTTAAAGTCTTTTGAACAATCTCACCACATCTGGCCAGGAAAAAAAAACAAAAAAAACCCCCAGAGGGGCATGTTGTCACATCATGGGGTAAGTTGTCGAAACAGGATCCTGCAGTTTTTTGACACTGATTTGAGAAGAAAACCTTTTCTGAAATATGAAATATTACCTAAATTAAAATAAAAAGTCATCTTCCACATCATACCTGCATTTAAAATGTATTACAGGCAAATTAATGGATAAATCAAAACAAATTAAACAGCAAATTGCAATAAATCCTTGCATGTTGCATTTACGTTTTTGCTTTTTGACGAATTGCAATTCGCAGTTAATGAATTGCATAAAAATACAACATATAAAACACATGTGATAACTTGCCCCAACACCTAACATTTATTAAAATACTCTTAGGATGATTTGTTTAGATTATAAATGGGCAGATTCAGTTGTTTCATTTCATCATTATTTTTCGTCCCACATTCAGGTGGTTTGTAACATTTCAGCACAGACACACACTTTTTGAACATTCCTACCAGTATTGCCTAGGAAAAACATACTGTACATCGGGGCATTTCGTCACACTATGTATTAAATATGGGGCAAGTTGTCACGAAGGGACCCTAGAGTTTATTGACACTGATTTGAGAAGAATGCCTAAAATTCTACCTAAACTATAAGAAAAAGTCATCTTCCACATCATATCTGCATTTAAAATGTATTATAGCCTAATTAATGGCTAAATTGAAAAGGTAAAACAATTGGCATAAAATTCAAATTAAAAACATATAAGCCACATGTAACAACTTGCCCCAACTTGCTAAAATACTTATAGGATAATTGGTTTGGATCATAAACTAGCATCATGTTTCTTTCCACATTCAGGTGGTTTCTAAGAAATACCGTAACTTTGAGATCCCATCAGAGTTCAGTGGGGTTTGGAGGTACCTGCAGAACACCTACGCTCGGGATGAATTCACCAACACCTGTGCGGCAGACAGAGAGATTGAACTGGCCTATCAGGACGTAGCCAAGCGGCTGGGCAAATGAAAATGCGCTAATCAGTGACTCTAATAATCATTTGCAAAACTGCTAAAGTGGTGACCTTTCTCTTGGTGTCAATGTCTCATTTTCCTTCAGCAGGTATTGAGCAGAATTTGCCTTCAGGACATTGACTCGGTCTTGTAATACTCCTGTCATGCTTGTGTGTAGGCCTTCCCATTGCCATTATGTTTACTGTCTGTCTGTAATGACATAAACTCCTCTATTAGTGTCGCTATCTATGACGGCCTAGAAAAGAAAAAAACACTGTGCCACTGTTTCTCTGCAACTTTTCAGGGTTGGATGATGATTCTCCTCATTTAAAGTCCAATTCTTGCTGCATAAACCTTTCAAATTGAATGTTGTATAAATTATTTTTGCTAGCTTGTGAAACAGTAATATAATTTTGTGCTTTATCTAAGAGAGGATTTTTTAACCCTAGTATTTAATATGTGTGTAAATCTCCACAGGAGAAAAAAACGTGAGCATTAAGAATGTAATTTCTTTAGAATTGGCTTGAGAACAATTCTATTTAAGCACACAGCCCCACCTAGTGGAGAAATTAATAAAGCTGAGCTATTAAAATTAGCCTCATTCTGCAGTTGATATAGGCTATACATACTGACGCAAACTTTATACATCAAACAAAATAAGCACATGTTTAGGTCTCAGGTATCTCTAGCCCTGTCTGGAATTTTCATATATTTGAAATGAACAACAATACTGTGTCTTATTAATAAAATATTTTTTTTTCATAAAGCTTGTAATGTTTCGCTTGTGTTTAATCATGTGTCATACTGCAAGACGAATATTTCAAGTTAGAAAAAAAAACACCTCATCTTGTCGATTAGCACAGATAATCGACTCATCCCTCAGCAAAGCTCCGGTGACATTAAGGGTAGAAAATTGCATTTTTGTTTAAGCACTTACCATACAAAACTTACCATTCTTCCATACAAAATGTGTATTACGTAAAGTTGTCGAAATCGTCACTGTAGCTGCGGAACTAGTTTTCTGGGCGGATACTCGCGTTAAATGATTTGTATCCTTCCGCGTGCTGTGAGAAAATTAAAGTTGCAGCGTTTATCGACTTGACAAGATTTGTAAAATACAGGTTAGTAAACGATTTTAACACTCCACTCTCATGTTTACACGTGCGGTTTTAATTGTTGTAGCTCTACCTTCAATATTAAGTTTATTTTAGACGTTTGTTTTTGTTCTTGTCTAGACGTAAAAGAAGACGCGGTTTTTAACGATCTTAGTCGCAATTTATCGTCAGTGGAAATAAGACATCGTGTTACATATTTTGCATAGTTTATATTGAACCTTTAACATTTCTTTTCCCTGAAAAAACAAACAAACAAAAAGATAAAACCAGTCTATTGTAGACTGCTGGTTTCTGTCAACATGGTTTATTCGATGGTTTTTGAGGTGTTTTAGACACTTGTCAGTTGGCCAGGCTGGGAGACCATGGTTGACCAGATAAACCAGTTGAAGACCAGCCTACCATATTAAGTTGGTTTAATTGTTTGTTTGTTTGTTTCAGCAGAATATAGATTAAAATTAATTCTTACATTTTACGTACATGACCTTGAATGATGCTGGCTGCAATTGGTAACATATTCGTTTGACTTGGTGTGGTTACAGCCAAACAGCTGCTGAGCTGCAGCACTACCATCAGCTGGATACAATATGAGACTCTTAAGATAATATTTCACAAAAACCAAGTGGTCACCGTCTATCAAACTGTCAAGTAGGTGTGAAAAAAGCTGTCGTTCCATCTGATTTCCAGCACATGTGGCGGCTGTATGTCAGGTTTAGCTGGCAGCTGAATAATATTGCTTTATACGAGCACGGAGATCAGATTGGAACACAGGCCGAAACAGGAGAGGTTTTCCTCTGGTAGCTCAGGGCCGCTTGGCCTCATGGGTTTTAATTACTCTACTTCCTGTTGAGCAAGCCCTTTCACCATCTCTGAGCAGTCCAACACATTTCTTTCACTGCAAATTCAAACCATCTGCATTTATGTCTGCAGTCTTTATGTGGGCAGTGGGGCAAAGGACCAGTCAAACATGCACTTGGCTCCTTCCTTGATTGTTTCCGCAAGTTTGCACCATTCTGGATGAAATGTCCTGCGATCCTTAAGCGCATGGAAGGCCCGATCGACTCACTCACACCCCACACATCAACACACCAAACACGCAATCATCTGTCTTCAGATGGAAATCCTTCTCCAACACGCTATTCTTTTTCCTCCAGAACAATTTTCTCTGTGAGGAATCTCCAGTTACATGACATGGAAGCATAATTTATTGAAAAATCTGTGTTGTTTTCCCACTGTGCATTGAAGGAGTGATCAGAATATGGACTTATTTGCTTCATGTAACCTATCTGATCGGATTCCATTCAACGAGGCATCATACTATTCCATCTACTCTTGGCTATATACAGATAGATAAATTTACTTCCATGATGATGCTAATCATTGTGCCTGATGAAGGCAATGCTGTAATGTATAAATGTTGGAGTTTTGCAGTTGCTTCATCCATATATTTCATTCATAATTGCTCGCTCATGTAGATTACGGGGCTTCCAAACCTCTGCATTTTAGTGTATTTCTGTTTGGGCGGAGTAAGTTTTACATACGTGGCCTAAAAAACAATATGCATTTAATCTTGGCTGAGTTGCATCTTGTACACTTACACTTGGTCCAAGTGTAGATAGATGTCCAATTTGTAAAAACGTATGAAGTGTACAGTACATTTAAATGTACCTCCATATTAGAGACTCTAAGGTGAGACTAAAAAAACCCCCACTCAAAACACCTTTGCTACTGCATTGCAAAGCCCTGGCAGATGCTTTAGCATCATAGAGGTACGTTTTTCACTCACATTTGCTTCAGGAAATGTAAAAATATATTTTTTAAATGACTTTACATTATTTACAATAACTAGGGTATCTTTTATTTTGACAGAAACTGTGGTAACTGTGTTTGGATGGAAGAAAGCACGAACGATACTATCACAGGACTGGAAAAAGCACATTATATGTCCTGGAACTGGCAATTACATGTGAGAAAATGAGTCTTTTCCTGAATGCGTCTACCTTTCTTGAAGGCTGTCAAAGCAGCGGTAGCCGCTGACTTCACTACTCACTTCCCACCTGATTTAACTTATGCTGAAGTGGCAATTGCATTTTCATAGCTCAAAACCCAAAGGTAATCTAAAGCAGAGCCCACTCCATGGACACTGCCAACGCACCATGCAAAAGGCATGTGATTCCTCCAACTCGGCTCGGATCACCAACATCAGAGGATTTCTGGGCAGTAAAGGCAAGGCAACCTGTAGTTCACTCTGACCGTTTTATCAAAACAAGCATTTGCTTGAGTCTTATAATTATAGGTTAACACACAGGGTTGGATTAAAGCATCGCTGCACAGTAATATCCTTTGAGATCTTGTTGGATTTGTGACTGTGGATCGGTTGTGCATCAGTGACATCGCCCGGGCTCTAAATGATACCAAATGTTGAAGTTTGCCCCTGTTTCAAACAGCAGGGTAATTGTGGGTATGCATCAGTCAGATCTTGATTTAGACTTCAGTGCTGTCTGTCTGCACCTCATGAAGAGATCCAAGAGGTTTCACATTTTATGGTGGAAAATTAAAAGTCTTCATGCTGAGAGTGTATGAAATGGCATTTGGTATTGTTTGCTTTGGTAGGAATATTTTATTTTGTCCATCGCCAACTTGCCTTTTGGGATTTCGGGATACACTCTTTTATCTAATTAAAATTTCCATCTCGCTGTATATTTTCATTATGCTTTCACGTGTTCTCCCCATCTGTCCATCTTAGCGTTTAGATCTGCATCACAATAGAATAAATAGTTTTGTTTGTTTTTTTACAGTGAAAAGCCTAAAGGGATAGTTCACTCCAGCATTACAATTTACTCTTGAACATTGACTCACCATCATGTCGGGCCAAACATATGACATATGGAAAACAAAATGAGATATTTTGGGGGAAAAAGAGCTTCTATTTTCTGTATCAGGGTTATTATAGTTAACTTAATGTAAAACTATTAAAATTATGTTAATTAAATAAATGTTGATTGAAATAAAATATAACAGCATATACCATTTGGCATATTTGCCAAGGCAACATTTCTAATTTTCATTTAATGCATCTTGATGTACTAAAATAACAAACTAAAACTGAAATAAAAATTTATAAAACAGTATTTAAAAATAAATAACTTAAAAAAAAAAACTTACAAAAACAACAAAATTACAAACTTGTAAAAGTGAAAAAATATATAAAAAATCTAATTCAGAATATTCATAAAAACTCTCAATGACACAAAAATAACACTGAAAATATATAGTGAACATGGGCTATCTAACTTCAAAAAAGGCCATAAAAAAGTTTATACAATAGTTTATACAATTTGTGTGCTATATTTCAAGTTATTCAATAGTTTTGTATGAGGAATAGACTGAAATATAAGGTACATTCGCTCATAAGGAATCAAAGACTGGAAATAAAGTGTAAAAATTGTTTATAGTCCTTTTTGGAGCTTGGCAACTTCTAGTCACTCAATGCTTTCATAATTTATGGAAAAGCATAAGCAAAAAAAAAAAGGAAAATCATGGGTTTGGATCAACATGTGAGCGAGTATGTGATGACTGACAGTATTCATTTATGGGTGAACTATTTATCTAATTTGATATGTAAAACCAGATGTTTTATTAAAAAGCTTGTGATGTCATCTTAACACCTCGACATCATCTTTTGAAGTAAAACCTCAAAAGAACCGCGCGAACAAACCCTCAGTCAGTGTAAACAGCTGCTACCTACTGGCAGTAAGTCACCGTATGGCTCTGCAGAGCGTGGAATGACCCTTCTGCGGTCATATTATGAGCCGTCCTGCTCTGTGCGCGCGGTACGAGCGGTGTCAGGCCCCGCTGCATGCTGGGAAGATAGAGAGAGTGAGAGTGATGGGGTGGAACAGTGTCACTCTCACACACGTGTGTTTGTTTAGGCTTTAGCACTCGGCGGCTTCCAGCGAGGTGTCAGAACTGAGCCTCACTTCTGTTTCACACGTCCTTTTTCTGAAACTAGAGCGCATGTCATGCAGGGCTCAAAAATAATGATTAAAGCGTTGCTGCATGTTCTTACGTTTAGTGTGGTCATGATATCAAACTTTTATCAATACCATTTCATGATTCTAACTAAGTAATAATCAAATGACCACCGTGTTTTAGGAAAAAAGTAAAATATTACAATAAATGTAATTATGGTTGTGTGTGTGTGTGATATTTTTGTCCCGCACGTTCACATTCACGAAACACAAATTGGCTGTCTTTAATTTCATATAACTTTTTTACTTTATGATCAACAAAGGATGCACAATGAAGCCTTGATGCTATGTATAATTATACACACACACACACACACACATATATATATATATATATATACTGTATATATATATATATATATATATATATA